GTAAAAACAACATAGTTTGTAGGTATGTGATAAGGTAGTCTCGCCCCAAACCTATATGCGTCCCTGCTTGGGGTGGGACTTCACAAAACGGCATTTGTTGGGGGGCGTGGTCGTCTGCTCTCGACTAATCACAGCTCTGAATAAATATCGTTCTGTTATGTTCCAAGCTGATCCCCCTGCTTTTCTTCGTTAGAGTGAAATCCTCCATGCGGCCGCCGGTCGCGGTGGCTTTTGAGACCACCCACTTTTTCCCGCCATTCGCGTCCGGCTGTCACGGGCTGCAAACCGTCGGGCAAAAAAGTCACTGCTCTGCAGCCGTCCCAGAAAGCTTCAACTTTGATAATAAGGCAACGCATTATGAATTAAATATATTATGTATACATTTAAATTTAGTTTTAAAGATTGTGGCCTGTTTTGAACGGTTTTTCATGACATAGGTCATGTCAAACAGTACGCCCTTGTCACTCGAAAGATGCAGCTCTGGAGTGAATCGATCAGCCAAGATGGCGGACGTGTTGTGACAGTTCTGTTCTTTCGCTTTTCCAATGTTGATATTTATCGAAGTTTTGGTGTTTTTACTCTAAATTCATGTCAGGTAGTGTACTTTTAAGTTACATTTACTTACTTTATACCTTCCACAACTCTGAGACTGACCAGACACATGTGTAAACCCTCATGTTAAGTGAACAATTCCTAAAGTAAGACCAATAGAGATTGATGGGTCTCGGTTGTTAAAGTGATCCTGAAATAGGCTGAGACTTTAAAGGTCTTTATCCGCTTTTACGTATCGTTTGTGAGCACTGACTGTTCAAAGGTTACAACTGAAGGATGGGGAGAACCTTCATTGTTTCCCCGAGTTATTCCACGGGCCATTGATACATATTGAACCAACTGATAGGTTTGTTTACTTTCATTAAAGCACCACATTCATAAAGGTCAAAGCCCCCAACTGAAGTACTCATTCAGTCTCTTTTGAGTGAATATTCCAAATACTGACTTCTATCTGGTTTCAGAGCTCTCAGCACACTTAAAGTTTATGCCTGCATAGTCACATTAAATAATGTTAAGTCAAAATAAGAGATATTATTTCTTTTAACCCTTATACCTTGACAACGTTTAAATTATCACCTATTGTTCAAGGATCACATACTGTGCAAAGTACTTCTAAAGTAATTCTATTCTTTGTGTTTTCCACTCCTTTATCTCTTATGGGTTTTAATTGAGATATCATCAAGTGAAATAAGCGAGTGTTTGTGTCAAATGTCTTCGATCTTGCCAGTATTGGTTACTTAAATATTT